CCTTGACCGTTAAGCTCCCGACGAGAAACTGCTTAGTCCAGGTAGACATACAGAAACTCGTGGCATTTCTCACACAGAAAACTTTTGGGCACTGCTCCCCACTGGCCAGCGGGGGTAAACACTCACCCGTTTTATCAAACGTCTCAGATGTGGCAGCTATCGCCAGACTCTGGCGCGGATCAATTTTCTTACTGCTGAGACTCTCCTCTCGGGCTCGGCTAACGGGAACAGGAAGTAGGAGGCGCGAGCAGCCGAAACAGCAGTGGGTGTGGCTAAACGGGAAGTCTCGCTGTGTGGCGCCCGCACGTGAGCCAATCATCGCTCGCGATGGGTCTTCGAGTAGGGATCACGTGAGGGGAACAGACGTTCTAGCCGTCAGAGCGAGACACCTCTTCGTTTTTTCCTTCCTTTCCTTTCATCTTATAAGCTGTTGGTAATTGAAATGAGGGAATAATCATAAAAGAATGGCTGTTTGGTTCCGTGATAGGTTCACGCAGACTAGTGCGTCAACCGTCAATCAATCCACACATGGTTTATACGCAAAGACCGTTAAGGGGGAACTGCGCGGGAAACGAAAGCCAGAAACGAGAGTTCGTGGTGATTTCATGACAAACACAGCTTCCAGAGGGGAACTCGGCTTGCTACTTGGTGCTATGTAATTGGGGATCATAGCTCTGTGCCAGCTTGCCGAGAAACTCAATCTGCGCTGCTGTGAGACTCTGTGCGTGCCGTATGGGGGTCTCTGGCACAAATAGAACATTACCAGGCCAGTTTCTCAGGTCGTGTTGAGTGGTCTGTGAGTCGATTACCACCCCAGTTTATAACTTCATTAACAAGCTGCGAACTTTTGCAAACCTATGAGAGAAAGTCGAGCGATTGAATAGTACTAGAGAAAGGTCTCGAGACTTATATGATATACTTTAGATTATTCGTTTTGATGCCTCATTGATCGTGTAGTTATTGCCGTTGTCCTCGGTGACAGCACTGTTTTGATGATGTTTTGTTTTTTTGTTTTTGTAAAGTGTTTTACGGCGCTCGCAACTGCATAGGTCATATGAGCGCGCGGGACACACCTAATATTTTCAGTTGGTAAAAATTTTGAATTTTTTGCCTGGGTGGCG